GATCCCGAACTAAACTAGTCCCACCTGCCTGGTCCTAGACCATGTCGCTCCAAACATTTCCTATTCGTCTACTTATCCAAACGTCTTTTAAATCTTGTAACTGTACCCACATCCACCACTTCCTCTGGGCTCTAGGACACATGCCACATGCTGTGCAGTTGAAAGCCATCGTTTCAGTGAACTGACTGTTGTGACATGAGGTCAGACATCTGAGTGAATCCCTTTCCGCACATGGAGCAGGCAATCTGTCTCTCCCCAGTAAGGATCTCATTGCTGTTTTGCAAGGTTGCCTTGAATGCCTGAACCTCATTCCACAGGTAGCACATCAGCTGAGGGGCATCGTGTCCATGTGAGCTCGTCGGTGTGACGCAGGACTGAAATAGGTTTTACTAAAGTCCAACTAAATGTCTACTACTGTGCCCTCATCCATCTTCTTGGTTACTTCCTCAAAAAACTCAGTCAAGATTGTGAGACATGATTCCCCTCGCACAAAACGATGCTGACTATCCCTAATCATTCCCTTGCCTCTCCAAATGCACATAAATCCTATCTTTCAGAATCACTTCCAACAACGAACCCACCACCAAAGTCAGACTCTCAGTTTTTGGTTAAAAGTTCTGGTTGCACTGTTATAGGGAGGATATTATGAAGCTGGAGAGGGTTCAGAAGAGATTTACTGGGATATTGCCGGGAATGGAGGGTTTGAGTTATAAGAAGAGGCTGGGACTTTTTTCACTGGAGCATAGGAGGCTGAGGGGCGACCTTATAGAGGTTGATAAAATCACGAGGGGTGTAGATAAGGTGAATGCTAGGTGTCTTTTCCCTAGAGTGGGGGAATTTCAAGACTAGAGGGGCATATTTTTAAGGTGAAAGGAGAAAGATTTAAAAAAAGACATGGGGGCACATTTGTTTTTTTACACAGACCTTTATTGAAAAAGGGAGGGAGACAAAGAACAGGTAACTCTAGGCCAGTTAGCTTAACATTGGTCAATGAGAAAGTATCAGACTCTATTGGAAAAGTATCAGACTCTATTAGAAAGGGCGTAATTCAATGTAAAGGGGAAATCATGTCTGACAATTTTAGTCATGATGTGGAAGTGCTAATGTTGGACTGAGGTGGACAAAGTCAGAAGTCACATGACACTAGATTATAATCCAACAGGTTTATTTGGAATTACAAGCTTTCGGAGCCTCACTCCTTCTTCAGCTGAAGTGAAGGGAAGTGCGCTTCCCTCCACTTCACCTGACGAAGGACTGAGGCTCTGAAAGCTTGTAATTCCAAATAAGCCGGTGTTGTGTGACTTCCAACTTTGACAAATTTAGTGGAATTCTTTGAGGAGACAACAAGATAAAAGAGAGCAGGATGTCATGTTTGGGTTTCCAACAGGTGTCTGATAAGGTTACACACATCAATCAACCTAGTAAGATCAGAGCCCCTGGTGTTTGGAGTTAATATTAACATGGATAGAGGATCTGGCTGACTAACATAACAAGTTAACTCATGTTTAGAAGGCACTATACTTGCTGAGGGCATTGCCAAATAAAGGAGTTAGAGAGAATGAAATTGGACCTCTGAAAACCAAAAAAAATCCTCAAGAAATGACAGAGATAACAAGGTGTGGAGCTGGATGAACACAGCAGGCCAAGCAGCATCAGAGGAGCAGGAAGGCTGACGTTTTGGGCCTAGACCCTTTTTCAGAAATGGTCAAGAAATTTCCTCAAGAAATGACATTTTGATGACTTTTCAAAATCTGCCATTTGTACAGTAGCATAGATTCACCAGTAGATGGTGGTGTTGCATCATTTTATTCACCGAGAGAGTACGTGAGAGAGAGTCATTAACACTTTCATTCATTCAACCTTGCAGTCAAAGTATCTCCCACGGCATACACAAACACAAATGTACATACATATAGATAGATACATACAGACACTCGGACACATACACAGACAGACAAACACAGGCACACACATAGATAAAAACACACATTGAAAAAAAATTATGCTGAGGATCTCTGGACATTTTCGTTTTCTTTTGGATGTTTATTTTATTCTCTTTTTGAAAATAAATTCTGGCTTTGTATTGTAAGATCGCTGTAGAATTTGTACACTTTTCACTGTACTCCTGATCGATGGTCACTCTGCCTTATTTCCTTGACTTTCTCTAACTGCCCTGCCTTTAGCAGCAGCTTCAAACATCTCGAGTAACCAGGATGTTGCCAGGAATGGAGGGTTTGGATTATAAGGACAGGTTGGGTCTTTTTCCACTGGAGCGTAGGAGGTTGAGGTGTGACCTTATAAGGGTTTATAAAATAATGAGGGGCGTGGATAAAGTGAGTGACAAAAGTCTTTTCCCTCAGGTGGAGGGAGTTCAAAACTTTTTAAGGTGAGAGGAGAAAGTTTTGGAAAGGACATGAGGGGCAATTTTTTTTTTTACAGAGACAGTGGTTCGTATGTGGAATGAACTTCCAGAGGAAGTGGTGGATATGGGTGGAGTTAAAACATTTAAAAGACATTTGGATAAGTTCATGAATTGAAAAGGTTTGGAGGGATATGGGCCAACCACCGACAGGTGGGACTAGTTTAGTTTCGGAACATCGTCAGCATGGATTGGTTGGACTGAAGGGTTTGTTTCTGTGCTGTATGACTCTATCAGAGCTTCACTGAATTTCTCCCAAAGACAAATCTCTTATTCATTGTTTTCCCCAATCCCCAACCTTTGTTATAACTCGTCCTCTAGTTGGTGCTCCAGGTTACAGGCCATTCCCTTGGGGTCTGTTCCCAGGAAGAACTTACAAGTCCAAGTCCAAACCCATCTCCCCACATTGTGTCTGTTCATAAGGCATCCCCTGACACTGCGCATGCTCCAGACCCTGGGCTACTGTCCATGCTCGAGCTATCCCATAGGAGTGGTTACAGAAGGCTGCTGACCAATAAGAAGGGGCGGGACTGGAGGACCAAGTGGGTGCAGCATCTCCTCCAGCCAATCAGAGTCAATGAGGGAGCGGGTTGGAGGACCGAGCAGGAGGCGCTGCTCTGACTTTTAAACTCAAGGAAATAGTAATGTAGTGCTAAACCCACTGGGACTATTAATACAGGAGAGTATTCTGGAAAATGTGGCTTCAAATCCCAACATGGACTGGCAGAAGATACATCTGGACTTGAAAGTTAATCTCAGAACTGCCCTCCTCCAAACTCTTCCCTCAGGCAGAAGATACAGAAGCCTGAACACATGCACCAACAGGTTCAAGAACAACTTCTTCCCTGCCGTTATTCGACTGATGAGTAGACTATTTAACTTCAAATAATGTTGATCTTGCTTTGCACACCTCCTGTGTAGTGTAACCTGTATGCCTCGCTCTGTCTAAGTACCCTATGATCTGTATGCCCATGTTTGCTATGATCTGCCTGTGCTGCTCCCTGTACTTAGATACACATGACTACAATAAATCAAATCGAAAAGAAACGGTGACCATGAAACCACCATCAGTTGTCATGAAAAACCACCTGAATCACACATGCCCTTCAGGTAAAGAAATTTTTACTTGTGACCTCTAACATGTGAGTCATGGTTCACTGCAACATTGATGACCCTGAAATGGTTAAGAGAGCAATCCAGTTCAAAGTACCTTTCAGTGACTGTTTTCAAGCCATGAAATAATGAGGAGCACAAAAAATACACCAGTGTTCCAGATTTATACCAGATTTTTTTTGTTTTTTACACACAGGGTGGTTCTCCTGTGGAATGAACTTCCTGAGGAAGTGGCGGATGTGGGCACATTTGCAACGTTTAAAAGACACTTGGATAAGTAAATGAGCAGGAAAGGTTTGGAGGGATATGGGCCAGGAGCAGGCAGGTGGGACTAGTTGAGTTTGGAATTATGCTTGGCACGATTGGTTGGACCAGAGGGTCTCTTTCCATGCTGTATGACTCTATGAAATATGAGGAGGAGGCTCAAAGGGAGCAGGAAAGAGTTTCAGGAGCAAGTTGACTGATGAAGAGGAGACAGGAGATGTTACAGAGGTGGGAGCAGATCTGGTTCAGAAATCCCAGCTCCATGCTGGGGTGATGCCTCCACTCGTGGATTGGCCAGCTCCTGGCTTATATGCTGTTCTGATGCTGGCACCTGAGAAGAAGGAACATTAACAATATGATTAAGTAGTTGACGGTTTAGAGGGAATAGACTGGAAGGAGGAGGTGGTTCTCATGGTACAAAAAAAGCACTGAGGTGACTTTTCTTATTATTCATTCACGGGATGAGGGCGTCGCTGGCCAGGCCAGCATTCATTGCCCCATCCCTAATTGCCCAGAGGGCAGTTAAGAGTCAACCACATTGCTGTGGGCCTGGAGTCACATGTAGGCCAGACCAGGTAAGGATGGCAGTTTCCTTCCCTAAAGGGCATGAGTGAACCAGATGAGTTTTTCCAACAATTGATAATGGTTTTGTGGTCATTAGACTTTTAATTTCAGATTTTTATTGAATTCAAATTTCACCATCTGCAGTGACAAAATTTGAATCCAGGTTCCCAGAACATCACCAGGGATTCTGGATTAACAGTCCAGCGATAATACCCACTAGGCCATCCCCCGACAGGGGCGTTATAGGGACAAGGAACAACTAGAGAAAGATGAGCGATTGCAGATCAATCAAAGGGGAATGTTTAGAGATATTTTCGTCCAGTGGATGAGTAGGAGGGAAGCAGTTGAGACATAAGATCACAGTGCCATAGAATCTCTGTGAGAGATTCCTTCACGTTGTTGGGATGTAGCAGTCAGGAAAGAGAGCCATTTGGAAGTAACTTCATCTGGGAAACTAATCTGTTTTAAGAAATATTAAAAAGACTCAACACACTCCATTTGCCCACAGAGCTCATCTGTTTGACGTTTATCCAGAATGCCAATTTCTATAACTGGGCTGAAACGCAAGCAGAAACAGACCCCAGTGAACAAGGTTCGGTCCCGAATGTGATTAACAGAAGAGCCCCATTGCTGCAGTCACTTGTGAACCTGCTGGTGTGTTAGTAGGTGGGAGGAACGGGTGAACCCCTTCCCACACTCAGTGCAGGTGAACGGCCTCTCCCCAGTGTGAATTCGCTGGTGGACAGTGAGTTCGGAGGACCGCCTGAACCCAGTCCCACAGTGACAACACGTGAATGGTCTCTCGTCAGTGTGCACACGTTGATGAGACGTCAGTTCCCAGGAGCTTTTGTAATGTTTCCCACAGTCTGGGCATGTAAATGGCCTCTCCCCGGTATGGACTCGCTGGTGAGTGAGCAGGGTGGACGACTGAGTGAATCCCTTCCCGCATTCGGAGCAGGTGAACGGCCTCTCCCCGGTGTGTGTTCGCTGGTGTTTCAGGAGGTGGGATGAGGTAGAGAACCCCTTCCCGCACTCGGAGCAGGTGAATGGCCTGGCCCCGGTGTGGATTCTCTGGTGTTTCAGCAGGTTGGACGAGGTAAAGAATCCCATCCCGCACTCGGAACAGGCGAACGGCCTCTCCCCGGTGTGACTGCGCCGGTGAATTTCCAGCTCGAACGGGTAATTGAATCCCTTCCCACAGTCCCCGCATTTCCAGGATTTCTCCCCAGTGTGCCTGCGCTTGTGTTTAGACAGACCTGAGGACTGGCTGAAGCCTTGTCCACACGTGGGGCAAGTGTACGGTTTCTCTCCACTGCAAACAGCACTTTCTCCTTCCATGTTGAAAATCCGATGATGGTCGGGTTCGAGCAACTCCCTCAGATGTTTGTTTTCAGTTTCTCCCCTGCTGAATTCTCTCCCGTTCTCATACAGTACGCTGCGAACTTGTTTTGAAACAGAAATAAAAAGGGAGTGAGAGACAACCGACTAAAAGATGAAAGGAGGTTGTTAAATCGAGCTGATTGAACCTGATTAATTTGTGGGCCTGGGGACTTGAAAGCAGTGACAATGAAAGGTGCTGGACTATCATAGAAACACAACTTGTTCACTAATGTTTGTCAGGGGTGGGAACCTACCACCTAGACTGGGCCTACACAGGACAGAGGCATCTGTAGGAGGAGAAATGTAGATACGTGAAGAGAGAAAGAAAGATAGAGAAAAGGAAAGAGAGACAGAGAGTGAGAGAGTCACACAGCACAGAAACTGACCCTTTGGTCCAAGCCAACCATAATCCCAAGTTAAGCTAGTCCCAGCTGCCTGAGCTTGGTCCGTATCACTCCAAACATTTCATATTCATGTACTTATCTAAATGTCTTTTAAGTGGTATAACTGGATCCGAATCCACCACTTCCTCTGGAAGTTCATTCCACACATGAACCAACCTCTGTGTAAAAGGAGTGCCACTCGTGTCTTTTTTTAAAAAATCTTTCTTCTCTCAACTTAAAAATGTGACCCAAAGTCTTGAAATCCCCACCCTAGGGAAAAGACACCTGCCATTCACAGTATCTATACCTCTCATGAATTTATAAACCTCTACAAAGTCACCCCTCAACCTCCTGTGTGCCAGTGAAAAAAGTCCCTGCCTCTCCTTATCACGCAAACTTTCCATACCCGGCAACATCTTGGTAAATCTCTTTCTGAACCCTCTCCAGCTAAATAATATCCTTCCTATTACAGGGTGACCAGAACTGGACACAGTACTCCAGAAGAGGCCTGAACAACCTCAACATGACATTCAGAAAGAACAGACAGAAAGAGAGACAGAAAGGAAGAGGGAAGGAAACAGAAAGAGGAAAAGAGAAAGGAGAGAGATATGGTTGAGTCACAGGATGAAGGAAAGGGATGTTATATACCTTAGCTCAACAGAATCTTCAAAACCCTCAACCTCCACCATTTAGAAAGAAAAAGGTAACCGGTTAACGTGTGCACCATTCTTCATGTCCCACACAGTCCTGATCTATCGGACATGCAGGACTACGTGAGCAGAAATTTATTCCAGCTACATTCTGAGCCATTTGAAACCATTGTCTTCAGGTCCTGCTACAAGGTCCTCTTGCCAGGCACCATTTCCATCTTTCTCCCCATCAACCAAACCAGACTACTCACAGGCACAATGTCATATGTGAATCCAGAGGTCATGTTGTGGCTGTATAGGACATTGGTGAGGCCAATTTTGGAATACTGTGTTCAATTTCTGGTCTCCCTGCTGTAAGAAAGACGTTAAACTTGAAAAGGTGCAGAAAAAGATTGACGAAGGCATTGCCGGGGTTGGGGGTTTGAGCTATAGGGAGAAAAACCCATTTGGTTCACTAATGTCCTTTAGGGAAGGGAACTGCCATCCTTACCTGGTCTGGCCTACATGCGACTCTAGACCCACAGCAATGTGGTTGACTCTTAACCCTCTGGGCAATTAGGGATGGGCAATAAATGCTGCCTCGCCAGTTACGCCCTCATCCCATAAATTAATAAACTGAATTTTAAAAATCCGTTGTTATAGTTGATACAAATTCCTCATCTCTGTCTTCAATGCGCAACCCCTCACTCTGAGATGATGCCCTCCGGTCCTCGACTCTCCCACAAGGAGAAACAACCTCTCCACACCCTCCCTGTCAAGGTTCCCCTATGTTCCAATAAGGTCTCCTCTCATTCCTCTAAACTCCAGCTGAGTGCATCATGATTGCATTGAATGGCAGAGGGGAGTCAATGGGCTGAATGTCCTACTTCTGCTCCTATACCGTTAGAGGGACAATGACAACAAAAATCTCGGGGGCATTGACTGACCTCCAACAAAACCACAACCATCTTCCATTGCGCTGCTGGCGGCCACGCATGCACAATCGGAAAGGCGCCGGCAACACGGAAATTGCGCCTGCGCACTCGAAACATGCCGGCGCGGCTGCTGACGGCTGCACGTGCGCACCGCCTCACGCCGTCGCCGTTATTAAAGATGGCGCCCAGGCCTCAAGATGGACAAAAGCCCTCGCAGCTGCTAGTGCGAACACTCGTCGCAAACAAAAGAGATCGGTCCTCGCGTATTTTGAGTTTGGGACGCGTACTGGAGTATTTATGAAACCTTCCACCCCTCTCTCTCTCCTCCTACTTCACCTCAGGAAGATCCCGTTTCCCCCCTCCCCGTTCACTTACCGCCTGCGGATCCGAACGAACAAACTTCACTCGCGGCCATGACCGGCAACGCGCATGCGTCCGGTAAGACGCCATCCACTAGACCAATAGAGGGAAAGGGGCGGGCCTGAAGGACGGCGTCAGGGGTGGTGGGTCTCCAACCAATGAGAGCAGGAGGGGGCGGGCCTGGAGGACTAAATGGCAGCTGGTGATCCTCCAATCAATCCGTGTCAATGCGAGGTTGGTCCTCCAACCAATCAGAGCGAAAGAAATGATAAGCGGCTGACGCTTCAACCAATCGGAACGAAAAGAGGTAATGAGTGGCTGAAGACCCAACCAATTGGAGTGAAAGGGGTGGGGCTAGTCTGCTAACAATTGCGGGAACACGTTGCAACAAAGGACTGTTCAGGGCAGGATAGGGGAAAGCGAGCAATGTTAAAACTGGCAAATAACACACTGTTTCAGAGATAGTAGGAACTGCAGATGCTGGAGAATCTGAGATAACAAGGTGTAGAGCTGGATGAACACAGCAGGCCAAGCAGCATCATAGGAGCAGGAAGGCTGAC